TTTTTTTCCCTCAAAGACTCTGTAGAGGCACATTTACTTTTAAGGCAGCAAGTGCATTTTTCCTTAACTTTTCTAGCACACTCCCTTCAGGCCTGGCAGCATGGCAGAGAGGCCGTTTAGTATTGTGAACAGTATGGGAAAGCCCGCCCCCTCGCTCTGATTGGCTGCTCTGCTCTCGTCCCCTCTGCATTGGTGTCGGTGTGCGCCTTTGACAGTCGCTGCTGTCGTTTGGCGCAAGTAACCAGGTGAAAATGACTAGTGACTACAAAGTTGCAAAGCTGCGCCTACTATTAATCACCGACGGGCGCTGACAGCTCCACACACACACACACACACACACATAAGGGCGTTTCTACAAGAATCAAAGGTCGTTGGACAGTGGACCTAGTTTGTATCGTGTAGGCTATTCCAGATCCAGGTATCTCGTTGTTCGTCGTTTCACGTGAACGCGCCGGTAGCTGATGTCATTGGAACAGGTGCGCGAAACCCAGGTTCACAACAGCCGCCTGCATCGCGAGAGATTTCACGGATGCGAGTGTTTTGCTATGGCGTTTCATTCATCAGCCGGTATTACGAAGCGATTTGAGGCTGTATTCTTTTTATGTGCCTGGATAAAGTAGGCTGTCCAGCCTCGGCTGGTAGTTTATTGCTATTTCGGTGTCTTTTTCTCCTTGTTTGGATCGTTTGAAGACGATATTTGGCGACACTTCTCAGTGAGATCTACCATAGATTTGAAGGCAATGAACAGTCTTTTTTACCTTCGTGTGAGCTCGTGATTCAATTCCGATGAATTTACGCGTTTTTTGACTGAACCATCCAGGGAATTTATTTCAAGGACCGAGCAATGCCGACTCCGAAGTTTTAAAACGTTTCTTTTTCACCAAGATATGGGAATTAAGTCGCTTTGCTTTACTGCGCTCTAAACGCGTTTGCATGAGGAAATAACCTGTTTTTATCATTTTTAAAAAAAGACTCTTTTACGAAAGGGATTCATCATGTCCAAGACGCTGAAAAAGAAGAAACATTGGTCTAGTAAAGTGCAGGAATGCGCCGTTTCGTGCGGTAACGCCGGGGAGCTCAGCGCCGTGCTGGAGATACGCGGGGGAGCCGAGCACGGAGAGTTCCCGCATCTGGGACAGGAGTTGTCGGACGCGTTAGTGTGCCATGTCGGCAGGCTACCTGGTCCCGGAGATGTGCTTCTGGAGGTGAACGGCACGCCTGTCAGCGGACTGACAAACCGAGACACCCTCGCCGTCATCCGTCACTTTCGCGAACCCCTCCGTCTGAAGACCGTAAAGCCAGGTTAGTTTGTTAACATAATTGCTAGTGTCTACCAACCGAGACAACCGTTTTTCACACTACACCGAACCCAAGCTTTCCTTGTAAAATCCGAGTAAATGCTAGTTTTAAGCCTGTGTTAAGCTACATTTAATATTTGTAATTTTGAAAGAGAATTAGCGTCGCTTTTAGCACTTGAATGTTACAAGATGTTGTTTAGCAACAGACAACCAATCAAGAACTGCCTCAGTGCCCACCTCATTAAATATTCATAGACTTTGTGCAGTCTGAGAAACTTTCACGCGCTGTCGTGTAGGCTGTATAACTGCAGTGATGGTTTTTGAGGAATGTTTAATAATAGTTATTTTCCAGTTTGTGAAGTGTGTTGAAGCATTCTATACTGTTAAGTGCTGTATAAATAAATAAGACCTGACTAGAAGTCAAAACGCAACCAGAGAATATCTGGATGGCAAAATTCCCACGCATTATTATTGTTGTCCTGTCTGTCATGTTATTGACCTGATAAATATGCAAATAAGGACGCTAACTCATAGTTTACAAATATACAGCGGAACAAGATAACCCAGTGTTAAGAACATTTCAGGTAAAAAATTAATAGTTGGGCAGCTCAGGGTTTTAGCCAATATCAACCTCGTATTCTATTACTAGCATTAGCTTATAATTATGCAGCTGGCATTTTGATTAAATGGGACTCTCAAGGAAAAAGTGGATTTTAACTGAAGCCATTTATCACAGTTCCCACAACAGGAGGAAATTGAGACTATCCATCATGAGGAAGTTTTGGTACCACTAGATGCTTTCCGTTTGTGGGCAGCCACAACAATTTCATTAATCGTCTTGCTGGTAGATACTTTTACTTTCCATCAAGACTCCCAAGGTTTGTTTAAGCTGCTAAAGCCAAGTTACAAGTGTTTACAGGTGTATTGGACTGTTAATCTAGTGTTTGTTGAAGAGAAATAATGAGGATCTACAAAAGGCAGCTGAGACCTGAGGGTTCAGGACAGGTGAGGATCAGAGGCCGTAAAATGCAGACAAAATTCTATCATGTTTCAAGATGAATCTCCATGGTTACTAAACAGATAAGGTAGGACACTAGAATAACATCGCATTATTGTGTAACCTGACCTGTCTGTGGATCATATTACAGACTCATCCTAACTCCGAATCCTATCTTATCTGTTTAGTCACCAGAATTTCGGTTCCGATCTCAAACCATGCACTTGTCAGATCTTAACGTAAGAATTAAAAATTCAGGAATGTGACTCCGGATTATATAAGAAGTTTAGAGTGAACGAGTGTTTTTTTTTATTGTTCTTTTAAGAGTGTGTGACCTTTCAGTATGTATACGTGGGCATAGGCTTGCTTTGTGACATCACAGTGTCTTGACATCATTATATGTCAGCAAAAGTTGATGCAGATGCCATAGGTATGCATTCAGCTGGAAATTGTGTAAACAGTTAGAGCTTTGAACTTTGTCTATGTAATCCTCTTTTCCTGCAGCACAGATGTCGTCTGACTTCTCAGCCTCCCCCCTTCGCCCACTGTCCACCTCATTTAGCGTGTTAGCCTGCCTGAAGGATCACCATTCGACTTCTTTATGCCATTTTAATGCTCTTTTGGAGATGATTTTAATCAGAGAGCTTTATATTGCTATGGGCACTCTCTACATTTGTTTATTTTGGGCTTGCAAAAGAAGTAGAGTGGATTACCTAATATGAAAATGCAGCTCTCCTCGCACTTGCTAATCAGTGTAAATTGGCATTAGTGAACGGGTTAGCATCAAATGTCTCTTACTGATTATTTTAACGTAGTGTGAGTTTGTTAAAGCTGCCAAAGCCTGCAGCTTTGAACCGAGTCCAAGTCTAATTGATTCAGTTACTCTCTTAAATCTGTGCTGTCTGGCTCGTGACTCAGCAAGTGAACTGGACACCTGAAAGCTTGTATGCTATTTGAAATGTTCAGTGTTGCTAAAGTATGTTGGGTTTACTTTTTAAGTAAATATTATATTAAGCTGGAAAGAGGAAAAAGTAGGCTGATTTAAAAGAAAAATATGAAATAACACATAACATTTCATAAGATTTACTCAGCCAACATGATTGGTCATTATCTGCAATGATTTTATGCATTTTTATATTTTAATGGACTTGTATTGAATATTTGATATATCAGATTTTTACATGTACATTCTCATTTCCTTTGGTTTTACATTTGCTTTCTAACACTTAAAATATCTTTGTGATCCTTAGCGGATCTTAAAATTAATATCCACATTTACTATTGTAGATTAAAATGTTGTGTACTTAAATCAGGCTTAATATAGTTACAGTAACTAAAGTTAATATGAAAACTAATAAATACAATTCATTAATTTTAATTAATAAAAAAAAACAAAAGCTAATAAAACGACAAAAACAACTTAACTAAAATTAAATAGAAAACAGAAAATATCTAATTCAAAATATGAACAAAAACTATAATAGTATAGAAATTATACTAGAATAGGGCTGTGCGATATTGAAGAAAAATGCGATATGCTGAGTCAGTTCTGTGAACTTCTATAACTATCTTGTCATATATATATATATATATATACAGTGGTGTGAAAAAGTGTTTGGCCTCCCTCCTGATTTCTTATTTTTTTTGCATGTGTTCACTTGTGCTATCTTTGACTAATATTTAAATTAGTTTGATGATCTGAAACATTAAAGTGTGCCAAACATGCAAAAAAATCAGGAAGGGGGCCAACACTTTTTCACACCACTGGATATATGGTTATTTGTATGTATGTACCAAGAGTTCCTGTAAAACCACAACAAATTCCTTGTGTTTGCGCACACTTAAGTGGTGAATAAAGCTCATTCTGATTTTGATTCTAATAAGAAAGAATCTAATACAACAACTTCTGAAAGTGAACGGTATGTGTTTTACTCGAGCATTACATAAAAATTTCATTTGAACATTAGTGTAATCATTTTAACATGTTTAGGAACTGAATAATAAAAAGGAAAAATAAAAGACTGCTTAGTATTTACTCTATGAATTCAATAAGCACTGATTCTTATTTAAGCTACAAAAGTTATTTAGGTAAGAGCAGTGAGTGATTTTCTCTTTGTCTTTTGTTCATGGCCCCAAATATTGCAAGCTGTAGCGATATGCATATTGCGATATGTACATTTGCGGTATTTCGATAATTTCGATATATTGCACAGCCCTATACTAGAATAACACTGATTTAAATTCCCGTGTAGCATTTAAAATGAGTAATTTTAGTTGGTAGTTTTATTTTTTGTTTATTTAGATAAAATAGTTCCAGATTTTATTGGACAGAACATGATATCAGCTAGAATTTAAATATTCAAATAAAAACACATTTTCTTTATAAAACATAGTAAAAACAACAGTAGTTGGCCACTGAGCTGAACAGCCATAGTAAAATAAACATCACAAATATATAAATATATTGTATATAACACATAATCTGTATAGACCGCAGTCTAATCAAAAGAGGAGTCAACCAAACAATTATAAGAGGTTCTAATTTCACTCTAGGAGTAGGAACTGTTATAAACTTGCTCAAAAAGATTAGTTTTTACGCTTAGATTTAAATTTAGATTATTTTGAAACTATTCTGTAGGATAATAATTGTGGTGCATCACTAATTTCATATTTACTTCTAAAGAAAGATCAACTGAGTTTCTTAAATGTTCCTGCATCAGAGGCCATGGTGTGTACAGTATGTGTGTGTGTGGCTGAGTGGTTTCTCTGTCCCTCAGTTTGTTTAATTCATACCATCTCAATCATTGATGAGTCCATAGAAGAGGCCAGCTCAAAGGGATCAGATTGTACCAGGAGACCATTTAGCCTTAAATTCGAGCTGCAAGTAACACTGGCTGAGTGCTCTACACGGCTGATATGAAGCTCAAGAGCCTTCATCCTGTGGCTGGGCTCAAGACTCCTAGGCCAGTCTAGAGAGCTCAGTAGAGGTGCTGCTGGCATTTATACCAACTTTAGTGGGATGAATTGGTTGCAAAGGTGTAAAATTGACCAAAATGGTAGTGTATGGTTAAAGTCATGGTCAAGTGGTGCTCAAGACAATAAGGAAACAATGAACTTCAGTTGCTCCTTTGATTTGTGGTGTTCCCCAAGGTTCCATTCTTACCCCAACCCTGTTTTCTTTGTATAGGCTCCCACTACACAGTAAAATCCTAAATCAGCTGCTCAGAGTACATATTGTCCCAATCTACAGAGTGTTACAGTAACACTGAAGCCGAGTTAAAGTTAATGGGACAATTAAGCGATTAATTAAGTAAAGATTGAGCATTAGTAAAGAAAACGCACTGTTAACAATGTTGAACATGAACAACTACTGCTCAGGCTTTTAGACATGAAAACTTACCACATAATCCTCAACAGTGGTAACTCTGCTTCAGTGTTACTTTAACACCCTGTAGATTGGGACAATACGTACTCTGAGCAGAGTTGATTTAACTCTGGGGATTTTGCTGTGTAGGAAATATCCTTAGGAATCACAGAGTGTCATATCACTTTTATGCGGATGATACACAAATATACAGTGGGTACGGAAAGTATTCAGACCCCCTTAAATTTTTCACTCTTTGTTATATTGCAGCCATTTGCTAAAATCATTTAAGTTAATTTTTTTCCTCATTAATGTACACACAGCACCCCATATTGACAGAAAAACACAGAATTGTTGACATTTTTGCAGATTTATTAAAAATCTATGCTTAAACTCTAGTAAAACAAAATGCATTGTGTTTGGACCTCAGGTGAATAAGGCCAATGTAAACTCCTTCATCAAACCAACTGAAAAATTTGGGAGTCCTTTTAGATTCCTCCCTAAAATTTGATCAACATATTAACACAGTAGTGAAGTCAAGTTTTTTTCATTTAAAACTTCTCTCTAGAGTCAAGTCTTGGTTATTGTTTGAAGATCTTGAGAGAGTTACACATGCCTTTGTCTTGTCATGTCTGGACTATTGTAATTCTTTATATGTTGGTCTACCCCAGTCTTCTATATCATGACTCAAGATGGTTAAAAATGATGCAGCCAGGTTTTTAACTGGGGCTCGTAAGCGAGAGCATATTACTCCGATCTTACAGACTTTAAACTGGCTCCCAGTGTGTTATTAAATTGATTTTAAGATATTGGTATGTTTTTAAATCCCTAAATCATCTGCCACCCTCTTATCTGTCTGACTTATTAAAAGAAAAAAGCCAAAAAGATGTCTGAGATCTACAAAAAAAACCTACTCTTTGTCTCAGCCTAGATCCCGATTAAAAGCAAGAGGTGATCGTGCATTTGCAGTAGTTGGGCCGAGGCTATGGAATAGCCTTCCTTTATCTGTGAAAACTTCTAATTCTGTCTATGAGTTTTAAACTAAATTGAAATCTTATTTTCTTACTTTGACTTTTTAAACTTTGTATGTTTTTTATTATTGTTCTCATTGACATGATCTTTTATTATTGTTTTTATCTTTTATCCTATCTCTATTTGTACAGCACTATGGTCAGCTGCTGTTGTGTTTATTGGTGCTTAATAAATACATGAATGAATAAATGGAAACAGTGCAAGGAAGGAAAATGTAAAGTTTTCTCCTTTTCAAGCAGACAAATTTTTTGAAGGGTCTAAAGTTAGAAGGCATAGTTTGCCATATCGGTGAGTTTTCTGTGCCGATGAGAGCACATTTACAGAGCTTCTCCCTATCAGCTTCAGCTGTATCCTTTCCTGCCCAGTGGACTTGTGGCTCCTGCTCATCTTTTCCAATCTTATCTATTCCATGGCGTGAAGCTTCTTGGCATCCCACATATTCACTCGAACCTGTCATGTCCTCCTCTGTTTTTCCTGTTCTTCACCCCCACACCTTTTCTGCCAACCCGCTCACATGCAGTAGTGTCCAAAAGACCACACTGAAAATTTGGTTTCTTCGCAATTCTAAAATCCAGATTTAAAAGAAAGAAATGTTATGCCATAAGTGAATCATAAATATTATATTTTGCACATTTGTGTAGACCAGGGGTATTCAGTTAAATTCTAAGAGGTCCAGCCTTTTTATTTTGTTCCCAGTGGAGGTCCAGACAATACATTTATGGAAGAGTTATACATTTACATGTGGACAGCAATAATACATTGTAAAATAAAATAAAATTGTCCTCAAGGATAAGGATTTTGGAGCTAAAGCAGAAGTGACTTGAATTTTTTTTTAATGAAGCACATTTGGAGCTGCATAATAATATTACAGATTATTGATATAACAGCAAAATAATATAAATGACCCTGAATGCTTGTTGTGTGTACAGCTCAGTTGACAGTTTTGACATGCTGCTCATTTAAACTGTAAGCTGGGGTCCAGTTTGGTGACCACTGGTGAAGACGTGTGTGTATAGTTTGTAATAATATGTGAAAAATGTGTTGGGGGGGGGGGGGGGGGGGAGAGGTCCAGCCTTTTTATTTTGTTCCCAGTGGAGGTCCAGACAATACATTTATGGAAGAGTTATACATTTACATGTGGACAGCAATAATACTTTGTAAAATAAAATAAAATTGTCCTCAAGGATAAGGATTTTGGAGCTAAAGCAGAAGTGACTTGAATTTTTTTTAATGAAGCACATTTGGAGCTGCATAATAATATTACAGATTATTGATATAACAGCAAAATAATATAAATGACCCTGAATGCTTGTTGTGTGTACAGCTCAGTTGACAGTTTTGACATGCTGCTCATTTAAACTGTAAGCTGGGGTCCAGTTCGGTGACCACTGGTGAAGACGTGTTGGGGTCCAGGTTGGTGACCACTTGTGAAGACGTGTGTGTATAGTTTGTAATAATATGCGAAAAATGTGTTGGGGGGGGGAGTGTATTACTTTGAAATTACTTAGAAATTTCTGTAAGCAGTCTCTGACTTTTGGACCCAATTGTATTTTACCTTAATAGTTGCTTAATAGATAAATAAGTAAACATATTTTTAATATTGGACAAATTTCAGTGCGTAATCTCTGAGCAGAGTCATTGGATCTGCTCTGAATTTCATAACCATGATTTTGCATTTGAATAAAAAATAAAAAAGCTCTGCCATCATACATCCTGACCAGATAAAGTTTTTTTTTTTTTTGTCATACATCTGTGAAATTGTGCTCAAAGCCATTGTCTGAGTGCGGCCTTGCTTGACCACAGTGGTGCAATTTCCACACATTGTGTTAATTTGCAAGCGGAGGAAGGGTGAGGAAGTCAGTGTATCATTACCGACTCACAGACTGACTTACATTAGTCCTCCTGTTATGATGCTGTGTGGCATTATGAAGCAGCAATTGTTTTGATACTCATGTTGTTGGCCACGTTTTCTTGTTCTTATTGTCTTTACTTGCATACTCTCCTGAGTCATGACAAAGGATCAAATGCCTCATTTTATTAGACCATAACAGAACATTTTCTAATTTTCAGCGTTATTGTACTTTACTTTTTTTGGGATATGTGCTGTACTGTCTCCCTTTTTTCTTCAGCTATGCGGTGTGAGGTAAATCTGTTTCGTTCTCTGCTGCTTGATTACAGTAGTTTATGGAGTAGACGGGGGTTATATCAGCTTTGAAGAACAGGGAGGAAGCTTTGATGTGGTTTCCTTTAAAATGTTTGCAGCTTATGAGCGGTCTGTCACAAGCAGCTGCTGCGGTCGTATAACTTTTGTTTGCATGTTTGCTGCTGACATACAACTATAAAAGTGTACCACAGCTGCTTTAACATTCTGTTCAAGTCTGTTCATCTCTCTGAGGGCCTCGGGCTCATTGCTTAGTCACAAACATCATTCATGCAATTTTTTTTTATGTAAACACCCTCAGTCCCTTTCCCAAAGTTTCATACAATGGTAGAATAAGAAATACATTTTTCAGTGGGAATCATCTCCAGTGGCAGTTACACAGATTTGACAGGAGCAAAATGTATTTTCTCTCCCATCATCATTTCATCCTCCTTTCAAACCGGCCTTTTTTATTAGTCGGCCTTGTGTAATTCAGAGCGTGTTGTTTGCATGTTTCAACCTGCCTCAAAGAAGCAAATAAAACTGTTTTTCTGTTGGAAACACTCATTTTCAAGTGTGGCTTTTCACAAGTTGTTCATTTTCAGGACAAGATTCCTCCTGTATACTGCAAAAAACAACTAACTAACAACCTTAGTTACACAGATTTGACAGGAGCAAAATGTATTTTCTCTCCCATCATCATTTCATCCTCCTTTCAAACCGGCCTTTTTTATTAGTCGGCCTTGTGTAATTCAGAGCGTGTTGTTTGCATGTTTCAACCTGCCTCAAAGAAGCAAATAAAACTGTTTTTCTGTTGGAAACACTCATTTTCAAGTGTGGCTTTTCACAAGTTGTTCATTTTCAGGACAAGATTCCTCCTGTATACTGCAAAAAAAAAAAAAAACCTTAATGTGTGTGTGTTTTTTTACTGTACTTCATGAAACACACAATAAGATATTAAGACTTGTTTTCAGACAATGTATCTTTAAATGTTCAGGCTGATTTAAAAAAAACATTTACAATACAATACAATACAATACAATATAATGTAATATAAATCTGCCAGTGAGGTAACACAAAGAACATTATAGACACAAGATTAAAAGAAGTCTTAAATGGACAGTTAATATAACAATGCAATTTGTCATCATTTATTCACCCATTATCAAAATGCGGAACACAAATGATTTGTTTTGAAGAAAACTGTTTTTGTCCATGTAATAACAACACTGACCCCACTGACTTTGACTTTTATGTACAAAAAATACATCCAATGACATCCATATTACAAAATATAGAGAGAAAGTCATACAGGTTTGGAATGAGATGAAGGTGAGTAAATGATGACAGAAGATAAAAATATATTTTGAAGAATGTTAGTAACAGTTGGGAAAGAAAAATACTTTGCAAGTCAATGGCTACCGTCAACTGTTTGGTTACCAACATTCTTCAAAATATCTTTTGTTTTCAGCAGAAGAAAGAAACTTCTACAGGTTTGGAACAACTTGAGGGTGAGTAAATGATGACACATTTTTCATTTTTGGGTGAACTTTCCCTACACATGATTGTTTTAAGGATTTTTAGATATTTTCATACTTGAAAGGGGATAAAAAGAGGGAGATTTCCTGTTGCTCTTGGTTGTGACTTGAAGGAGCTTTACTGAATGAGTAAAAGTGATCTGGATTAGGAGGAAAGCAGCTGTGGTGCTGATAAGGAGATAGAACAATACAAAACATCAGAGAGCTGGGAAGGTGATTTCCAGGGCTTATAAAGCCCAGCGCACACTGCCAGGTTGAAAATCCCTGATCTGTGCACACTTAAAGCGGATGTTTTGCATTGTTTTTCATCTCATTAATTTGCACAAGAATGAGTAAAATAACTGGAAAAAAAGCTTGGTGAGATGTGGGGACAGTTCGATTCATTTTATTTTGATTTGTTTAAATATTTTATTTTGTTTAATTTAAAAATTTTGTTTAATCTTGTTTAAATATATTTTCATAATTTTAAATGAATTTTATTTATATTATATTTTTTATTGTAAATGTTTTGTATTTTAATTTGTATTTTTTTGTCTTGTTTTTTGTTTTGTTTTAGGTAGTTTTGTTTTTTTAGTTTTTGTTGTTTTTAGTTTAGTTGAGTTTTTTTTGTTTTGTATTGTTTTTTATTTGTTTTGGTTTTGGTTTGTGTTTTGATCTCGATTCCCAGTGCCAGCAAACTTATTTTCACTCTTTCACTCAAATGCTATTGCTCTCGCTATTTCAGAAAAGATTATGTAAACTTTGATATGACTGTCTTTTGCTATCCACCTTTTTCCTGAACACGGAAGTCTCGCCCGATGCTTTACATTTTCAGCCTATGGTGCATCTAGTCAAATTAACACATTTTCCAAGCTGATAATATAACGTTAAACCTATAAAAATGTTTTTAAAAATAAACTTTGGCGCCATGTGCATCACTTTACAGTGTCGCAATGACCGTCTTTCTGCAGTAACTCACCTGTCAAAGTTTAAATGAGTGGGTAGATGACATGAAGCGGCCCAAAGTTAGCTGCATTGAAAACACACAAACGCACATATCCTACATACAGCTCCCGATCGGGCGAGGTTCGGAGGATTTTGTCCATGAAATGAATAGAGCACACATTGTTTTAGCACATTATTTTATTATTTCACACAAAGTGTTTCAACTTAAGTGCTGCAAGCCATGCTCGTTTTCTCATGTCAGTGTTTGACATAGAATGCAACGGACACACTTTTGGACACGGACAGATTTGCTGGTGCGCAAAACAAGTACTTTATGGGAATTCCTGAAGTTTATTGCTGTTAATGTGGCAGCCAGCAACAGCACCTCATAACTATGCACACATTTTTATATTTGGTTACACTGGAAAAAGTTTGCTTAATTAATTCAGTTGATCTTATTACACCGTTTTAACATGGAGTTCTATGGAGACCAGAACACGACAGCATCCTAATGGAGGTTAGAATCCATCATGTCGGCGCTCATCAGTTACATCAAGGTGGATAATGTGGATTAAATAGCGTTTGGATGAAAATGTGCTTCTCATCCTTGTGTAAATTAGATTTTATGGCTCACTCCCAATAGCCTTTTTATAATGTATGGCCATTATTGAAGAAAGTACTCAATGCAGTAAAGAAGAAATTGATTAATTTTAAGGGTAGAGAGATGCAACCCTGTTATGCAGCAGGCACTGCTTGCGTGTGATGTGGAAAGCCTAAGACATCATAGTGGCATGCATGAGGTCTTCTGAGTGGACAAAGCAAACACTGTAACAAAGATAATGAACCGAATGTATTTCTTCAAAGCACAGAGAGGTGGTCTGTGGTATAATATCCCACCCCGTTTGCCTTATTGTGACTGTTTCTGTGATCCAGGGGTCTTTATTATTCTTGTGCTGGCATGTAGTGTGCATACCACCGGAGAATGAAAAGTGATGGCCTTTTGAAGTCTTAATGCCTGCAAATAACTTGCCCTTCTCTGGATCACTCGATGTGTGTGTGAGCATGCTTTTGCATGAAAATGAGAAATTAGGACAGGAATATGGATTGTTCCTCTCTAGTGCCCTTTTGAGATGAAAGGTAATTACACTGATAGGATTTGTGTGGTCCTGAGGGCTGTGTAGACGGTAGCTATTTGTTTGCTTACTTTGTGATTGTTCAGATCTCGGCAGATGTTTCCTGCCGCTCGTATGTAGTGCTATCACAGATGCTTCGTATGGCTTTATTTACAGAAGGCTCTTCTTGCCATGTCTGTTGATTATTTTAAACTGATGTTAGTTTTACTGCTGAAGTCGTCTCTCACCTGTCTAAACATTGAATGTGAATCTTAATTCATGCTAACAGCACGCTGACTGAATGACTGCTAGCCGGCGCTAATCTCAAACCACTGCTGTGTTTGCCCACCTCAACATGGCAAAGTCATCGTCTGACCCTGGAGAACATTTAGAGGATGTGGAGGGATTTTAAGCCTCTCTCCTCTATAATGTCACTGGAGCAGCTGCATGTGAGTTTTT